GATCTCAGGGTTGTGAGTTCGAGCCCCACGTTGGGTGTAAAGACTCCTTAAAAATAAAATCTTTAGGGGCGCCTGGGTGGCTCAGTCATTAAGCGTCTGCCTTCAGCTCAGGTCATGATCCCAGGGTTCTGGGATAGAGCCCCACATCGGGCTCCCTGCATTGGGCTCCCTGCTCCGCGGGAAGCCTGCTTCTCCCTCTCCCACTCCCCCTGCTTGTGTTCCCTCTCCTGCTGTGTCTCTCTCTGTCAAATAAATAAAATCTTAAAAAAATTAAAAAATAAAATCTTTAAAAATAATAACAACGATCTCCCTTTTAGGATAAGGAAACTGAGACGTAGAGAGGAAAACCCACTTATCCAAGGCCACACAGCTGGGAAGGAGCAGAGAGAGAATTCTAAGTCCTCTGCTCTTAAACCACCACCCCACACTATGCCCCCGGACTCTCCACCAGGCTTCCACCCTGAATCTCTACTCCAGCCAGCAACCTCCCCTTGGCTAACTTCATCCAACCCACAGGTAAACACTGAGTACAGAGAGCTGACGGCCATATCTTGTGATTTGTGTATTCCTCTCCCAGGTTCCAATTTGGTTGTAAGAGCAGGTACTAGATCCATTCAGACTTGCGTTAAGTTTCAGCTTCACCTTTCGCTAGATGTGTGACATTTGGGCAAGTCACTTTAACAGATGAACATGAACTGCTCTAACAAATATAAAAATGTCTAGCCTCGAAGCTGGTACCTTGTGTATTCTCACTAAGTGGGAAAGACCAGGTCCAGAGTAGCAGAGATACCTAGAGAAGCTGGCCCCTAACTCCAAGAGCCCCCTGGGTTCTCAGCCTCTCCTCTTAACATTTGAGTCTTATGCCAAAAACCTCCTGCCACGGCCCCCCATCACTAATGCTCCTCCATAAATCCTTCATAAATCCTTGGGCTTTCGAGTCAGACAGACCATGTTACAATACTAGTTCCCCCACTTACCGTCTGTATGACCTTGGACAAATGACTCATCTCTGAGGCTCAGTGTTCTCTTCTACAAAAGAGTAATAATGGTACCTACTCCATAGGATCGTTGTGAGGATTAAATAATAGTACTTGTGTCAATGTTTAGCACATGGTCGGGCATACAGCGAAGGCTCAGAAAATGTTAACTCTTTTTCCTGAATAATAACAACAGTTGTAGTAGCTTTGAACTGCCTGCTGATGAAAGTCCAAATTCCTGACCCGGTATTCAGAGACTTGTACACGTAGCCCCATCAATCCTTCCTCCCCTCTCCTCCAACTGCTCCCCTGTGTGGAGGTCACACTCAAGCCACATGTGGCTTTCTCACCTCCATGTCTCTGCCCATGATCTTCCTCTCCATTCAGAATGCTCTCCCATACCTCACACCTGTCTACTTCCTCACCTCCCACTCAAGCCTCACCTCCCAATGAAAGGGCCACCTCCTCAATTGCCCTGGGTTTCCCCAGCACTTACAGCCAGCATATATTAGTGCTCAGACCCTCCAGAGCGAGGCTTCTGTCTGCGCCTGTCTTAACAGCGGTCACATTTGATTTCCCTTTTCAGGAACTGACCTTTCTCGACTGTCGGTCCATGTGTTCCAGGGTTGGGAATGTGGCTGAGGTCTTAGACAAAGTCACATTGATTAACTAAGAGGTGAATCTTTGGCCAAAGCCTGGGCCAATGAGAATCAGCCCTAGAACTTTTGCTGGAACCACTGACTAATAGATGTTCTTTTCCCACAGGCATTGCTAAGCTAAAATGATGTAAATTCAGAGCCGCTAGTGGCCTTATTTATCACCTTTATGAAAGAAGTGGACTTTAAAATGAGCTGACACAGAGGAACCAAGAAACGGAGATAGACATATTCTTAATAGCATTATTTGAGTATCTGGATCCATTCATGCCTAAAGCAAGATACTCTTTTTTTTTTTTAAGATTTTATTTTTAAGTAATCTCTATATCCAACGTGGGGTTCAAATGCACAACCCTGAGATCAGAAGTCCCATGCTCCACTGACTGAGCCAGCCAGGCACTCCTGAAGCAAGATACTCTTCCACTTTTAAGTTATGTGAGCCAAAAACCCCACCATCCCTATTTTATTTGATTTTTATTTAAGCCATTTAAGTTGGGTTTCTGTCACTTGCCACTGAAAGAATGCTGACCACTATAGTGATCCAACTAGATGGTAAGCTTCCTCAGAGTGGGGATCACGCTGTATAGACCTAAATCCTCGGGGGCCAGGATGATCTCGGTATATTATAGCACCTAGCAGGGATGACCATAGAGCAGGTAAAGAATAAATAGAGCAATAAGCACCTCTGAATTTTCCCAACAGTCCAGGGCTCTACACTTAGAAGAGTCTAAAATACTTGAGGGGTGCCTGGGTGGCTCAGTTGGTTAAGCGTCTGCCTTCGGATCAGGTCATGATCCCAGGGTCCTGGGATCGAGCCCCCACATCGGGCTCCCTGCTCAGCGGTAAGTCTGCTTCTCCCTCTCCCACTCCCCCTGCTTGTGTTCCCTCTCTCGCTCTCTCTCTCTCTCTCTCTGTCAATTAAATAAATAAAATCTTTAAAAAAAAAAAGAAGAGTCTAAAATACTTGAATAAAAGTTTACATGAACGAGGATTCTAATTCTTACCTGAGATAAACAAGGCCCTTTGCTGCCCTGCAGTTCCTCTGAGAATGATTTCTTACTTTCTGAACAGAACTGTCTTGGTAAAAGAGCTGCTTTAGGAGACACACCTGGCTAAAAGAGATACTTTGAATCCACTAATGTAACTGATTAGTCTCCCACTATAAGGATGACAAAACTGAGATTTAAGCTAAAAACAATTGCTTAATACTGCAGGGTGAATCACCCAGGCAGAGTCAGCCAAGCAAGACCCTACCCCATGACTCGCAGTCCAGTGCTCTAGCTCCTGTCCTGATGTCACTTCATTAAACAAAGTGAATTGGTCACTTACCCAGAGAACTCAGAAATCTCTAAGCAAAACAGAATAAACTGCTCAACTCTGCTAACTGGCCTCCTCAGCCCTCAGGTGTGGGACAGCAACACAAGGGAAAGAGCAGGGGGCGAGGAGTAGAGACCTAGTTTACTCCCCTCCTGGTGATGAGACTTTGGGTAAGACCTTTTCTCTAGTCTCAGTCTTCTCTCTCTAAAATGAGGGGAGGGGAAAGGTGGGATTTGAAGGAGCTGATCTCTATGATCCCTGAAATTCTGTAATTACATGGGGTTATTGGACACTCCATCAAATCCCTAAGATTAAACCCACATAAATCACAGGGAATTGGAAGGCCAAGAGGTCAGCAACCCTTCTGCAGACTCCAAATTAAGGGTAAGGAATTGAGGATTCCAGATGAGTATATATTCCTTCCAGCTTGCCTTTGGAGGAAGAATAGAATGGAAATACATAAAATTACCTTCTGTGTACCACGGAGAAATATGGAGACATACCCTGCACACTCTACAATTCTCCTTTCTCACCTTCAAAGATCCTAGAAGACCTACATCTAAGTAGATGGAGCGAGATCTATTTGAAACAAGCTCATTAGAATGTCCCCATCTGAATTAACACTGCTTTCTTCAAAGTAGTCCTTCTGAGAGTTTGGGAAATTCTTCCAAGGGGACAGTAATTCCTCCCTGTATTTGTAAAAGTCCTCTTGGGGAAGCAAACCAGCCTCATGATTTTGCTCTCATACCTTGGCTTTCATCCCAAGTGACAATTCTCAATTTGATCACTACTGTATTTTCTACAGTTGGCCCTAAGCAACTTCCAGCCATTTCCAAAAATCATATTCTTCCTTTAAAAGATGGAGGTTTCCCTCAATGATGATGTTCAAGAAAACACACCCCACACTCCAAAGACAATTTCCTACAATGTTTTGAGCAGTGGAATCATCAGCAAGTGATATAACACCTCCTGCAGATAGTCTCTTTTGAAGAGGCCCATACTTGTTGAATGCCCTGAGGTGCTTATTTTGAAAGACCATCTCTACTGTATGATCATCACATTTTCCCTACTCTTTCTCATTCCTGGAGGGCTCCAAACTTTTCCTAACCTCACCAGCCCTCCTCCCCCATTCTTGCTGTATCTTGACCTCACTTTCCCCAGCCCAACTCTTTCCTGCCTGCAATTAGGCAAATGCCCAAGTTGCTGAATCTTCAAAATCTGCCTTCGATCAAAAGGTGGGTGGGGGTGGGGACTCTAATGGATCCTGGAATATAGTCTCAGCAGTTCTCATTCCCAAAAGTCCTTTCTCTGGTTCTTAGGGCAAGACGTCTGTCCTAGCTAAACATTTCAAAGAGTCTCAGGGATTTATTCCCATTGAGCATAGCACCAGAACCCGTCCTGCATTGGGTGGGGGAGGCGGGTGGAGACTTGCCCTCCCAAGACCCTCATGCTGTCAACCACCCACATTTCAAACACTGGATAGACACTATACACATGCATATCTTCCTACGCTCCTTTATCTTAATACAGAACTTCAAAGTTTACAAGATACTCTTTCATTTGTTCTTAGGATCCTCTCCATTGTTTTACAGATGTGGAAGCCTAGCCTCAGAGAAGCAAAGTGAAACACCCAAGTTGATAATGTCAGCAAGATAAAGGTCAAAGTCAGATCTTCTGACTCCCCCAACTCATGCTCTTTTTTGATACAACAGAAATTGCTCACTCCTAGAGTAACTCCTCATTCAGATAATTATTTCCCCTAAGACAGCCAAAAGAGACTCTCAGAGACCCTCAGACACTCTAACATAACGCTAACCCATCAATAAATGCAGTCTGCCCATATCCAAGCACACAAACTCAAAGACCCAGTCCTAAGGCTCTGCCTCCTGCCCCAAGGTGTCTCTCTCTCATAAATCCCTTCCCCAGTGGCTGCTGAGGGACACCAAGGAGGTGTGTCTTTAGACAGAGGAGCAGAATCTCTCTGACCCCTCAAGAAGGGGCCCCGTCTTCGGCGCTTGTTCTGGGGGTCCCGTCCCCACCCCTCCCCTACCTGCCAAAAGCTGCATCCAGGCGCAGATCTTGTAGACGGTGGCCGTGTTGCAGAAGAAGAAAAGCGCAAAGCAGGTGATACAGCCGAGGATCAGCACCATGGAGAGCAGCACGAAGAAGGCGGCTGCCTTGAAGGCGCCGGACGGGATGGTGCTGAAGTCGGTGAACGAGCCTCGGCAGGTGAGCTCGCGGCCCGCCAGCCCGCTGCCCACACAGTAGTGGAAGAGGCCGAAGTAGCCAGGCTTGGGGGTGCTCACGCTGTCGCCCACCCAGTAGGGCTGGATGAAGACCACCACGTTGATGATGGCGAAGCAGATGGTGAAGATGGCCCATAGCACACCGATGGCCCGCGAGTTCCGCATGTAGTGCTCGTGGTAGAGCTTGGAGGCCTCCTGCGAGGGCAGCATGGTGCCCGGGGGCGGGGCCGGCGGCGGCGACGGCGGCTGACGGGGGCCGCCGGCCCGGGACCGACCGCCGGGCTGCGGGGCTGACAGGCGGGAGCTGGGGACGCACGCGAGAAGCGGCCCTGAGCCAAGGAACTCTCGAGGGCGGGGCCTGGGGCGGAGCTGGGGGGACCTAGAGGGTAGTATGAAGGAGGCAGGAGGGGGTCCTGAGTGTTGGGGCGGTGTCTGGGGGGAGTAAAGATCTCCAACTGGGGGCCTAAGAAAAGGACATGTAAAAGTTGGGGGGGCTGGGATGAGGGGGATGGGATGTGGATATGGGAGGTGGAAGTGGGGGCTGGCTAGAAAGTGGTCATGGGGGTGTTGGGGAGGAGGTTTGGGGGCTAGAATTGGGGGAGTAGGAAGGAACCATGGGGAGATGGAATGGAGGCTGAGGACCGGTGTTGGGGGATTAGCAGAGGAGCTGTATATAGGGAGCTTGGGAAGGAAATTGGGGACTGGTATTAGGGGTAAAAGGAGATTTGGTATTGGGCGTCTAGAAAGGCGCTGTGGAGAGGGGGGCTGGTGCTTCTATATGAGGGGATAAGAAGGGGATATGAGGGGCTGGTACTGGGGGACTGGGAAGGTGATATGGGGGCTGGGACAGGGAGGGCGAAGTGGAGGAAATCAGGATGAGGCTAGTGGGGAGTCGAGAGCTGGGACTGCAGGGTCTGAACACAGGGCGGGGGTCGGGGGGCGTCCCACAGAAGACAGGACTGGATGTAGGCTGAGGGATGCCTAGGATTGGCGGGCCAGGGCTGAGGAGAGAGGTTTTCCAGGCCAAGGGTACGAGGGACTGGGGCCGGCAGGCAGCCAGGGCCTCGAGGGCCGGACTGTAGGCAGGGTTTATCCCCCGAGCGCTGGGGAGCGGCCCGGCGGGGGTAAGGCCG